AAATCCATTTCTATTGTAAATGCCAAAAAAAATTACAAAGAACTCACAAGAAAACTACTAGAGATAATCAATTCAACAAAGTTGTAGGATACAAGATCAACACTCAAATCAGTTCATTTTGGGATTTTTGAAATTCCAGTGGCGGCATCTCTGGAGGAGGGCATGGCAACCCACTCCAGTATTCTTGCCTAAAAAACCCCATGAACAAAGGTTAGGACTCTGTGCTTTCACTGCCCAGGACCCGGGTTCAATCCCTGGTAAGGGAACTAAGATCTCACAAGCCATGCATGGCAAAAATAAATAAAACAAAAAATTTTAAATCAGTTTCATTTTTATATACTAGTATTGAACAATCTAAAAAACAAGTTAAGCAAACAATTCCATTTACAATGGCCTCTAAAAGAATAGAATATCTAGGAATAAATCTAACCAGGGAGGTGAAAGTCCTGTACAAAGAAAATTACAAAACACTGCTCAAAGAAATTAAAGATGACCTAAAAAAAAAGAAAAACAGCCTATATTCATGGGTAGGAAGACTTAATGTTGGCAATATTCCCCAGTATGATCCACAGATTCAATCCAATCCCACTTAAAACCCTAGCTTCCTTTTTTGTAAAACTGACCAACCGCCCCTAAAATTTATAAGGAAACTTAAGGAACCCACAAAAGCCAAAACAATCTTGGAAAATAATAATAAAGTTGAAGGATTCATACTTCCTGATTTCAAAACTTACTACAGAGCTACAGAGAATAAGACAGTTTAGGACTGGCATGACAGATATATAGATCAAGGCAACAGAACTGAGAGTCTACACAGATTCATACAACATAGCCAACTGATTTCTAAGATGGTAAGTTCATCCAATGGGGAAAGAACAGTCTCTTTAGCAAATGATACTGGGACTGGATTTCCAAAAGAATGAAGCTGAACTCCTACCTCAAACCATATACGAAATTAATTCAAAATGGAACAAAGATCCAAGAGCCTAAATCATAAAGTCTTTTTATAAAAGTGTGTCTGTGTTTGTCTATGTGTGTGTTTAAAATCTTCATGACCTTGGATTTAGCAATGGACTTTTAGGTATGACACCAAAAGCATGCATCAACAGATAAACTAGACCTCTTCATCAAAATTAAGCACTTTTTTGCATAGGACATTATCAAAGAAAACGGGGAAAAAAAAAACAATCGATACATACGAGAGGAAATATTTGCCGGTTATAAGGAAGTGACAAGGGTTCGAACCCTGGGCTGGGAAAATTCCACATGCTGTGAAGCAACTAAGCCCATGAGCCAGTGCACTAGAGCCTGCAAGCCCCAACTACTGAAGCTCCTGCTCCACAATAAGAGAAGCCACCCCAATGAAGAGCCCACCCATCACAACAAAAAGTAGCCACTGCCTGTTGCAACTAGAGAAAGCCCAGGCAACACCAAAGACCCACCACAGCCAAAAATAAATAAACTTTTTTTTTTTTTAAAGGAGGGGGGAGGGAGAAGTTCTAAGCTTTGAGAAAGGCAGTTCTGAGATGTAAAATGAATAACAAATACAAAGAGCAGTGAGATTTTGAGTTGCCATAGCTGTGAAGTTCATACTCAAGAGTGTACAAAAACTTCATTTGAGGCCTTGCAGACGCCGCCACCCCAGAGCCTTCCTTGCTGTCTAGCCATGGTCAACCGCACCGTCTTCTTCGACATCGCTGTCGATGGCGAGCCCTTGGGCCGCGTCTCTTTTGAGGTAAGGGACCTGGAAACCAAGAAGTGACTGCTCATCCAATCCGTAAAGCTATGTTAACAGATTGGAGCTGTTTGCAGACAAATTTCCAAAGACAGCAGAAAACTTTCATGCTCTGAGCACTGGGGAGAAAGGATTTGGTTATAAAGGTTCCTGCTTTCACAGAATAATTCCGGGATTTATGTGCCAGGGTGGTGACTTCACACGCCATAATGGTACTGGTGGCAAGTCCATCTATGGTGAGAAATTTGATGATGAGAATTTCATCCCGAAGCATACAGGTCCTGGCATCTTGTCCATGGCAAATGCTGGCCCCAACACAAACGGTTCCCAGTTTTTCATCTGCACTGCCAAGACTGAGTGGTTGGATGGCAAGCATGTCGTCTTCGGCAAGGTGAAAGAGGGCATGAATATTGTGGAAGCCATGGAGCGCTTTGGGTCCAGAAATGGCAAGACCAGCAAGAAGATCACCATTGCTGACTGTGGACAAATCTAATAAATTTGACTTGTGTTTTACTTAACCACCAGACCATTCCTTCTGTAGCCCAGGAGAGCACCCCTTCACCCCCATATGCTCGAAATATCCCATAATCTTTGTGCTCTCGCTACAGTTCTTTGGGTTCCATATTTTCCTTATCTCCCTCCAAGTTTAGCTGGATTGCAAAGTTAAATTTATGATTATGAAATAAAAACTAAACAATTATCTGTCAAAAAAAAAACACTTCATTTGAATACATGATTTAATGGCCTTCACTGGTTATCTACTTCAGAACACACACAACACATGTAACCAGGCAAACTGTTACTAAGATCACTCAACATATCATATAAAGCAAAAAGGAGTCAACTGTGCAACATGGTCATTGATGACAAGTTCATATTAAATTTCTTTCGTTCTCCAAGTTTCCCCTTGGTATTTATAAATTTCACAAACTTGGCAATGATAAAAGAAATGTTGAAATTGATAACACAGAAGTTTATTTATAACATTGGGGGCTACAGTAATATCTGTGAATGTACTTAACAAAATTGTACCAAAGCTCTAGTTTTTAAAAACTTGATAAACTACTTTCTACCAAAAATAGTCCTTATGATATTTTTAATGCTCACGAAGTTAATACACAAAAAACTCCTCAATTCACATATTTTATTTTTGTTTTGTTGTGGTTGATATTGTCACTGTTCCCCCATTTCAACCCCAGTTCTATTATAAATAATTCTGTGGTAAACAATTTGGTGACTAGAACAATTTGACAGTGAGGTCCATTGTGTTTCTAGGTGACAACATAGATGGGTGAGGAGAGAGCAACCTCCAAGAATATCCCATCCCTTTGGCTAAGAACCATGAGCCCACTTACTTGGGCCCCCAATTTCAATTCTGATACCATTTCCAGAATATAGCAAAGTAAATTAACAAATGTGAGGAAAGTCTCTTGTGACTCATTTGATTACATCAAATTTAATGCTTAAATATGACTTAACACTTGTTTACAAACAACTTATACGGCATGGTAAACAACTGCATATTCGTAAGATAATGCACGTATTATTTTACTGCTAAAATTTTTATAAATATGAAAAATATTTCTAAAAATAATGATCCAATGCTAAATCTTAAGAGACAGAAGTAGACTGCCTACCTAAGTGGTGAAAAAGCAATGAAAAGGGGACTGTATTTACCTACACTTTCTTCTGAAAGAGCTTTGGTTCCTTTATCATGCTTTTTTCTTTTTTGACAAAAGTTGGAGAATTAGATAAATGAGATGGAAACAGGCAAGTGTGTGGCTCTAACGTGAATTCATTCTCAGTGGCAAGACAAGGTTACATAGAACAATATAACACATTCAATGTTGTTTTCATTTCTCTTTTATTATCTAAAACCTATATATACCACCTAGTTTTGAAGGCAAGAATTTCTGATTATTAAATGGAGACAGACACAAAAATATTTCGGTATTAACTGAACTCAGTTTTAACTTATGAAACAGTGAAACATTTCTATAGTCTCTCTTCTACAACAGGATAATTTTGTTATACAGAACGGTATATAACACATTCAGTGTTGTCTGTATTATGGTTATGTCAAATACTAAAGATACTAAAGAAAACAATATCCTGGGAGCTTATTTCTGGAAATTGTACAATGTATCACCTTTTGAGCACTCTTTGTCCTGTTTTAAGAAAAGAAAAATGAAGATAATGACTTACAGAAAAAAGCAGATTGTGAAAAACAATAAAGCTGCTCCAAGGTGTTCTTTATATAGACTGAGATCCAAAATTCAGCACTACAGAATAAGTAAAGGCCCTGTACCTCTATTTCTGGAGCATAGGAGCTTACCAATAACACGTGACCAAAAAAACGCCCCCAAAACTATACTACTAAAGTTGCAAAGTTTAAAAAACAAATTTAATGCTTGGGCCTCAGCTACAACTTCAGAGCCCTACTGTAATGAAACAGACTACAGAATGGTAGAGGAGGAGACTCAAAGGACTCATGAGTGGGCCTTGACATACACCCCAAGAAACGTAAGGAATCGTTTCAGGATCCTTAGAACTTAGCACAAAGCTCAGTATATTTCATCAAAAAAGCTAGAAATTGTTTTCCCAGGCATGTGCACTTGTCCAACAGAAGACCCTAACCTTGAATTTATTTCAGAAGAGACTCTCAACTGGTATGCAGCAACTCCTTAAAGGAGACCAGTACAAATGATTCTCACTCCCTTCACCCACAAGTTGAATCTCTGATCAAAGTGACAAATTGTGAAGCTAGAGTCTGTAAAGCTAGGGAACAGGTACACAAATAAATTTATATAACTTTACTAAATTTTAAAAAATATAAATGCTAACACACATGAATTATAATCTTAGCAATGAGCAGCAAAGGTTTAAAGTCTCAATCTTAAAGTAACCATAATATGGAACAGTGTGTGCTCAGTCATGTCCAGCTCTTTACGACCCCATGGACAGTAGACCAGCAGGTTCCTCTGTCCATGGAATTCTCCAGGCAAGAATACTGGAGTGGATTGCCATTTCCTACTGCAGGGGAACTTCCCGACCCAGAGATCGCACTTGTGGCTCCTCAGTCCCCTGAACTGGCAGGAGGATTCTTTACCACTGAGCCACCTGGAAAGCCCCAACCATAATAACCACTGCTATATAATAAAGGCCATGATAGTTCTTTGTCGCCACAGCATACTGAGCTATGGAGATTAAAGGACAGTATCAAAAAATCAAATCTTCAAAGAAATTCATGATAGGTATCTCTTACCTCATAAATGTTGGGGTGCCACATTTTGGTCAAGAATCTGAAGGTAGGTGGTGAATATGGGTAGTCAATAGGAAATTTAATATGCGCCTAAAAAGAAAAAAAAAATGAAATGCTAGTAAGTAAGACTACAGGTAACTTATCTGCCTAACAATTCACCCTAATATACTCCAGTGAAATGGAACATCTTTCTGCATCATAAACTCTGGAGATTAAAATAGTTCATATATATTTTGTCAGCCCCAATGCTAGGGTTATTAGCATGTTTTTACAACTATCTCTTTAAATATTTATAAAAATTTACATTAAATTGCCAATGCTCAAGTTATATAATTTTTAACTGAATAAACATGAGTGAAAATGTTTAATGTGTCACAATAATGGCTGCATTTTATATTAATAACAATTAATACGACCTTATGGTATATTATAGAACAAAGATAATTTGTTTTACTCAATACCATTTAACTACTACCAAGGAATAACAAATGCTATCATTTTGATACGGCTCTTCCAGGAGTTTTTCATGCTCAAGTATGCTTATCTCTTTACAAAGCTTATTTTAAATTACTGTATTTATACTGTTTCTTTCCATCTGTATTATATCATAAACATTTTCCTTTGTATGTATGATTGTTAGTATTTGCAAGATGTTTCCATCATATGGATATATAGATGAACCATTAAAAAAAAACCTATTTCCTTATTTTGGAACATATTGGTGATTTTTCACTCTTTTGCTATTGTAAATACAGTTACAGTCAATGTCCTCAGCAGAATCCCACATTTCAAATATAAATAAATCCAAAGTGTCATCTAACCATACCAGTAAAAGGGAATGAGGACGGGAATGAAAGGACAAGCTGAGAGTAAAGCTGAGGATAGCAGTGAAAACTGCAGTCAGGATTCTCAAAATTCCTGTCTTCAATAAAAGCAATGAGAAAAATAGCAAAAATTTTAAGAATCAACTTCTTCAAAATCTAGAAAATCACATGAGGCTTGTAGCAGGTTCAGGGAGGATCTATTCAAGGAAAATAGTTGAACTGGTTTTTATAGTAAACTTGGTGGCCATGGGGTCGCAAAGAGTCGGACACGACTGAATGACTTCACTCACTCACTTCACTTGTGGTATTTTAACTTGCTCTAGTTAAAAGATCTCCAGGAGATCTTCCCAACCCAGGGATTGAACCCAGGTCTCCCACGTCGCAGGTGGATTCTTTACCATCTGAGCAACCAGGGACTCAGCAGGTCAAATAGACTAAACAAATATTTTAATAGGAAAGGGTGGGATATGAAATGTCTGTATGGCTTTGAAAATCTCTGACCAGGGACTCAGCAGGTCAAATAGACTAAACAACTATTTTAATAGGAAAGGGTGGGATATGAAATGTCTGTATGGCTTTGAAAATCTCTGACCAATTTCTAACTAGAAGATCAGGCCAATGTATAGGGCCATGAATATGTCTCAGCTATGCACATGCTCAGAAAAGTCATGAGAGGTCATTAGATGGCCTTCAACTAGCACCTCTGGTGAACCTGAGATCTGCACAAGCAGCAAGTGAGGGTTAGGCCAAATTTGCAACTACCTAGCTGAGTGTTAAAGGCATGCCCCCAAATGCACACAGAGCTCCTCTAAAATGCCCAGGGGGGTTGTTGGTTCCAGGAAAATAACTGCATTTAATTTAATAAGGGAAACTTCTGCCCAATTACTGGGTGACCACTAAGCTAACCAAGTGAAGACTCTACTGGCCACATACAACCAAGAACACAGACGTTTCAGAATTAGGTCAGAAAAGTCATTAAGTAAGGAAGCAACTTCAACAAACAAGAACAACCAACATCCTGTTGCCACAATATATTATTTAAGCATCCAGTTTTCAACAAAATGTTACAAAACATGAAAAGAAAGTACGGCACATACAAAGGGTAAAAATAGCAACCAACAGAAACTGTTGTTTCAGAAGGTCAGATATTTACTTTATTAGAAAAAGACTTTAGATCAGCTGTATTAAATATATTCCAAAGATTAAAAGAAACCACAACTAAAGAAATAAGGAAATGTATATGGAAAATCTTTCAGCATATCAACATGAAGAAATTGTAAAAAACAAACAAACAAAAAAGCTTTGGAGCAAAAGAATCAAACATAAACCACGAAGCTGTAAAATACAGTAACTGAAATGCTGAACAGCAGATATGATGAAACAGAAAAAAGAATCAGTGAAACTGAAGAAAGCTCTGTTTAGATTAACCAGTCTGAGTTAAGAGGAATACAAAGCAACTAACAGAGACCTATGGGACACCAGGTTATCAATATATACATACTAAGAGTCTCATAAGAAGAAATAAAAGGGGCAAAAAGAGCATTTGATGAAATAATGGCCAAAAATTTGCCAAATTTTGATTAAAACAATGACTCTAACAACCAAAAGCTCAACCAACTCCCAAGAGAAAAACTCAAAGAGATACACATCTATCTATCTATATATCATAATCAAACTGTTCACAGCTAAAGAATGAATCTTGAAAGCAGCAAAAAAGAAACAATCCATCAAGTAGAATCCCTTGACAAACAGATGCCATCTCCCCAGAAACCAGAAGGCAGTGGAATAATATTTGAAGTAAAAAGAACAAAATCTGTCAATTGAGAATTCTATATCCAGCAAAACCATTCCTCAAAACTCGAATATGCAAATTAAGACATTCCTAGGTAAACAAAAACTGAGAACTAGCAGATGATGACTAGCAGACCTCACCTCCAAGAAATACTAAAGGGAGTCCTTTAGGAAAGGACTAGCTACTACGTGAACCAAAATGAAGAAAGAGCACAAATAAATATATAGTACAAGTACAGGATAGTTTCTTTTTGTTTATAACTTTTTCCTCCCAATTTAAAAAACAGGGCTTCCCTGGTGGCTCAGTGGTAAAGAATCTGCCTGCCAATGCAGGAGACATGAGTTTGATCCCTGATCTGAGAAGATCCCACACAGCATGAAGAAATTAAGTCCATGTGCCACAACTATTGAGCCTGTGCTCTAGAGCCTGGGAGCCAAAACTACTTAGCCCACTGGCCACAACTATTGAAGGCAACATGCCCTGGAGCCTGTGCTCCACAACAAGAGAAGATACTACAATGAAGAGCCTGCACATAGCAACTAGAGAGTAGCCCCCACTCCCCACAACTAGAGAAAATCCCAATGTGATTTGGATGTGAAGAGCCATCACAGCCAAAAATAAATTAAATTTTTAAAATACATAGGATAATAATTATAAATCTACTAAAGAGCACAAACCACACAAAGAAGTAATTTGTATACCAATAAATAATTGAACTGTATAGTTATATGTTGTTGTTTATATAAAATAACTCCAAAAATTCAACACCCCTTCATGACTGAAAACACCCAACAAACTAGAAATATAAGGGAAATTCCTTGATTTGACAAAGGCCATCTAGTAAACAAAACTGCAACTAATATTATACTTAATGGTTAAGGAATTTCAGAAATTAGACAGGGATGTCCACTCTCATCATGGTGTATTCAACACTGTATTGGAGATGCTAGCCAGGGCAACTGGCAAGCAAATGAAATAAAAGGCATCTTGGTTAGAAAGTAAGAAGCAAAGTTATTTCTATTTTTATATTACATAATCCTGTATACAGAAAAATAAAAAGAATCCACTAAATATATTAGAATAGCAAATCAGTAAAGTTGCAAGATAAAACTTATAATATCAGCATCAATTATATTTCTATACAGCAGCCCTGAACAAACTGAAAATGAAATTAAGAAAATTCTATTTATAATAGCAACAAAAATAATAAATACTTAGGAATGAATTTAATAACAAGAAGTGCAAAACTTGGGACTTCCCTGGCAGTCCAGTGGTTAAGACTTCACCCTCCAATGCAGGGGGTGTGGGTTCAATACTTGGTGGAGGAGGTAAGGTCCCATGTGCCTCATGGACAAAAATATTTAAAAACAAAAAATAAAAAACCTTGAAGCAATAATGTAACAAACTGAATAAAGACTTTAAAAACGGTTCACATAAAAAAGAAAAAAATCTTCAACAAAAATGCGTGCAAAACTCACACTCTAAAAAGTACAAAACATTTTAAAAGAAATTAAAGACTTAAGTAAATATTAAATATCCATGATATTACAAGTTCATGTAGTTTCCCAGATGGCACAGTGATCAAGAATCTGCCTGACAATGCAGGCAACCCAGGAGACATGGATTTGATGCCTGGGTCGGGAAGTTCCCTTAGAGAAGAAAATGGCAAACCACTCCAGTATTCTTGCCTGGAAAATTCCATGGAGAGAGGAGCCTGGTGGGCTACAGTCCATGGGGTCACAAAGGGTTGGAGACGCCTGAGCAAATACACACACATACACATGTTCATGGATTGAAAGATTTAATATTCTTAAGATGGTAATCCTCCCCAAGTTGATCTACACATTCAACCTCACTGTATGGAAATCTCTGCTGCCTTCTTTTCAGTTTAGTCGTGTCAGACTATTTGCAACCCCATGGACTGCAGCACACCAGGCTTCCTGTCCATCACCAACTCCCGGAGCTTGCTCAAACTCATGTCCATCGAGTCACTGATGCCACCCAACCATCTCATCCTCTGTCATCCCTTCTTCTCTTATCTTCCATCTTTCCCAGCATCAAAGTCTTTTTGTGAGTCAGTTCTTCACATCAGGTAGCCAAAGTATTGGAGTTTCAGCTTCAGCATCAGTCCTTCCAATGAATATTCAGGGTTGATTTCCTTTAGGACGGACTGGTTGGACCTCCTTGCAGTCCAAGGGACTCTTAAGAGTCTTCTCCAACACCACAGTTCAAAAGCATCAATTCTTCGCCACTAAGCTTTCTTTGTAGTCCAACTCTCACATCCATACCGACTACTGGAAAAACCACAGCTCTGACTAGACGAACCTTTGTCAGCAAAGTAATGTCTCTGCTTTTTATATGCTATCTAGGTTGGTCACAGCTTCTCTTCCAAGGAGCAAGCACATCTTTTAATTGCTTGGCTGCAGTCACCATCTGCAGTGATGCTGGAGCCCAAGAAAATAAAGTCTGTCACT